CTTTCCCTCTGATTGGGATGCCATTGTCAGAGGAGCTGGTTGGAATCCTTTTGAGAAGGGAAATAATAATAATGACAATAAAACCTGCCTGCAGGGTGGGAGGGCGGCTGTGTTTTGCTCTTGCCCCTGATGGGTTTGCGGTTGAAATGATAGGAAATCTAGACTGTCCCACTTCCTGACCCAATGAAAACACCTTTAAAAAAAAGAAATACGGTGAGGGGGGAATCGCTGTATTTAGGATGCTGCTGCCCACCAGGCCAGGTAGAACAGTGCAAACAAAGGCCCTGAATGCCGCTGCCTGTCCATGGCCCAGGTGCACTTTTGCGTTGCACTTGGAGCCTGGCAGGGCTCTTCCACATAAGCAGGCCCTGCTTTAGCAGGTGGAGGGAGGGAGCAGAGGGGCAGTGCTCAATCAGCTCCAGGAGGTTTTGGCGGCCAGAAGAGAAGGCAGGGAAGGAGTTGCCCAAGGTCAAGCAGCAGAGACTCCATCAGAATTGGTCTTCCTTTGAGCACAGAGTGGGCATGATGACCTGGCTGGTGAACCAGCCGCTCCCCTCAGCCTACAACCGCAGGCATGTGGGGAAAAAAGCCAAAATAAAGCAGCCTCCCCCATAGAAAATGTTAAAAAAACAACTGCTGCTGCACTGACACCTTGGACCCTGCCTTGTCCCTTTTACCTACCTGGAACAATGGGGGGAGGGGGGGACAGGAAAAGAGAACAAGTCTGAGCCCCCTCAACACACACACCCTCTCCTCCCAGTGCCCTGATACACACACACACCTCTCCAAGGTCCCATAGACCACCCCCCCCCCCGCTTCCTTCAGGGCCCTTGACACAACCCCAGGCCCCATACACACCTCCATGGCTCCATATACACACACCCCCTTCAAGGCCTCTGACACACACAACCCCAGGTGCCATGCACACACGCACACCCCCCTCCAAGGCCCCGACACACACACACACAGAGCTTGCTTCCCATTCAATTCCAAAAGGCCAGCTCTGCCCCGCCCGCTTCCTTCAGGGCCCTTGACACAACCCCAGGCCCCATACACACCTCCATGGCTCCATATACACACACCCCCTTCAAGGCCTCTGACACACACAACCCCAGGTGCCATGCACACACGCACACCCCCCTCCAAGGCCCCGACACACACACACACAGAGCTTGCTTCCCATTCAATTCCAAAAGGCCAGCTCTGCCCCGCCCGGCGCTGCCCGCCCGAGAGGGAGCGGGTTCTTCTTGCAGCGCTGTTGTCTTGGCAGAAGTTCAATGAGCAGCAGCGGCAGCAGCAAGAGGAGGGGGCCCCCCCGTGTGCTGGAGGGAGAGGCGTGTGTGCGCGCGCGCGCGGGGGGGGTGGGGGGGAGCGGGCGGCGCGCAGAGGCTCCGAGGCGCTGCCGAAGAACCG